TATAATCATCAGAATCCTCCTCTTCGGACTCGCTCTGAGCCTCCTCTAGCTCCGATTCAGAGTCGGAGGATTCCAGTAGGGCCTTAGCCCTCTTCCATTTAAAGGCAAAGTGACTGAAAACAAAGCTAATAACTGTCAGCAACAGAGGAAGGAAAAAATGTTGTACTTATCTGAGGCTGCAGCAGCAAAAGAAAGAGGAGTGGCTTAGGGTCACATGGGACTTTGTTGTAATGGGGACACTCTGATTGGTTCATATGTGGTATTTGATTAACCCTTTAGAAGTTATGATGTGGTGTTATTGAATTGTTTTTCCTTTTTTGCATTGAATATATATACTATATTTCTTTTGCTGCTGAAGAATAAAAGAAAGAGAAAAGCATAATAGGAGCCTCCGTGTCCTTTAATAAAATCCTTCCTCCTCTCACGGTCCCAGAATGTGCGCATGCACTCTGAGTTGGTGAAATGGTCCAATCACTGGCTTCTTTATGAGAAGCCTGTGATTGGACTGCACATGGCTCTAGTGACGTTAAATGGGGTGAGGAAAATCAGTGCCCTGTTTTTCCAGAATACAAATGCCCTAACCACAATGCCTTTCGTTCAATTGCTTATGCAAATCTATTGTGGAAAGTGCCTTCTTGCCTTCATTGTAAATGTTATCTGCATAGATATTATAGCTGTTGATATATATTTTTGCTGACACTAAAACCAAATTACAAGATATACTCATTTTATTTTTTTTAAAGAAAAATAATTTTTAGGAAGTGTATCAAATGCAAGGCAGTGCTGGCATAGCATGGCATCTGATGCAAATACTAAACATCTCACAGATCCCTGTGCACAAAAATTGTTGTTCTGTGCATATGCAGAGGAAACCGGGAAGATAGTGCCACTGATTACCTGGATGCACTGCTGGAGATGTGTTTTTTTTAGTTTTTTTTTTTAGGTAAAGGATAATTGCCACAGAAAGAAAAGTGATGGTTCTTTAACATTTAATGCTCAACAAACCTATTGAACTAACAAAGCTCATTAGGACAAGCAATAAGGATTTTCAGACCTAGAGTAACTGTGCTAATCAGTCATCCACTGAACTTTCAGGTACAACTGTGCTAATCAGTCATCCACTGAACTTTCAGGTACATATTGGTCAGAACAGGTGGCAAAATTACTGGCAGAAGCGGAGATCTTTCATCACGCTGTGAGTGTTCGTTACAGCAAAGCAGATAATTATCTTGCATGTTTTTTTTCTGTTACATTTTCCTGTTGTGACATATTCAACCTTTTCTTTCTACTTGTCAGCTTCTGACACTTAATGGATCCTAACGAGGTTTAATGTTGCCTTCTCGCCCTACGCTTGTAGTGTTACCAGTAATGTGTGTCTCAAATGTAATTATAACTTTACCATCATTGACCTGCTCTGATGTGTCAAAGAGGTCCGGGGGACTTGTTTTTCAGCCAAGCCTTTTCTACAGAAAAGCGTCATTGGGCTTATTAACTAAACAATGCATTATGGTTAAATTGTAATTAATCTAAAAGCTTTAGACCCAAATATCTAAGTTAGGAAAAAAAAATATCCAACTCCCTTTTGCTCAAGATTTTATTCGCCCATGCCAGCTGCTATGGCCTTAATTGTGGCTAGTTATCTCACAGCTCACTGTTTAGTAAATAGTTCCAATTTCTCACTCTCTGCTGGTTGGGAAACTGTCAAAAAGCTTATTGATAAAAGGAGCTGATAAGCTAATGGTTCTTCTGCATCACTAAACTGAAATCAAATTAAACAGAAGTTAAACAACAAATTCAAAGAATTTCAAAAAAATTTAAATTTGGCGACTGTCACAACCCCAATTTTACTTAATAGAGGTCTGGTAGGACTCTTGGGAGCTGTAGTCAGTCAATGACAAACAGCCAAAATTTTTCTCTGTCTCATATAGTAAAGATTGAGTCTTGTTTCTATATTAAGGGGAGAGGAGGTAGAATGTTATCGAAGGGCATTATTCAATGTATTTTATGGTATTGTGGATGGAGATATGCCCAGGCTGTAAGGAAGGCACTAATTTAATCACATGAATGATTCCAAAGAAACTTGATATTTTTCAACTACTATTTTCATCTTGGTTCATATGAATACTAAATATAGACAGAAGTCATTTTTTCTGCACACACACAGCATTAAAACAAATTGTATTTGGGGAATGGAGCCAACAGCGAAGCCATTCAGACGCCATTTTCTAACGTCTCCTGAATAACTTGTACAATCTCGCACATCTCGCAAATATCGTTGCCTACCTGCACAATCTAAAATCCACAGGCCCCCCCCTTATGGGGATCAAGCGGCATCAATAGCTGCCCTTCCCTCAAACCTCCAAAATGCCTAAGGGCAGACACAGGCCTGAGACCTACACCATGCAGACCTTAACGGACCTGGAGACACTCCCCGGTGGTGCCCATGCGGACACAGAGCCATATTACTTTGCTCAAATTCACCCGGAGCCCTCAACACAAATGCCCGCCATGGGACTTCATTCCCAGAAGCCAAACACCGAGTGCAACAGCAATGCTCCAAAGACAGGCACGGCCCAAAATGGCACGTGCAGAAAGCCTTGCACTGCGGCCTCTGATACATCCCCAGAGCGCCAACAACAGTGTGAGCAGGCTACCACACCACCCGCTCCCACGGCGAACCCGGAAGACTCAGCCCTGGTGACTAAGCACAATATGTCAGTGGTGTTTTGCATGTCAGAGCGAAGTAACATAGAAACATAGAATGTGACAGCAGATAAGAACCATTCGGCCCATCTAGTCTGCCCAATTGTCTAAATACTTTCATTAGTCCCTAGTCTTATCTTATAGTTAGGATAGCCTTATGCCTATCCCACGCATGCTTAAACTCCTTTACTGTGTTAACCTCTACCACTTCAGCTGGAAGGCTATTCCATGCATCCACTACCCTCTCAGTAAAGTAATACTTCCTGATATTATTTTTAAACCTTTGTCCCTCTAATTTAAGACTATGTCCTCTTGTTGTGGTAGTTTTTCTTCTTTTAAATATAGTCTCCTCCTTTACTGTGTTGATTCCCTTTATATATTTAAATGTTTCTATCATATCCCCCCTGTCTCGTCTTTCCTCCAAGCTATACATGTTAAGATCCTTTAACCTTTCCTGGTAAGTTTTATCCCGCAATCCATGAACCAGTTTAGTAGCCCTTCTCTGAATCCTCTCTAAGGTATCAATATCCTTCAGTCTCCAGTACTGTGTACAATACTCCAAGTGAGGTCTCACCAGTGTTCTGTACAATGGCATGAGCACTTCCCTCTTTCTACTGCTAATACCTCTCCCTATACAACCAAGCATTCTGCTAGCATTTCCTGCTGCTCTATTACATTGTCTGCCTACCTTTAAGTCATCAGAAATAATCACCCCTAAATCCCTTTCCTCATATGTTGAGGTTAGGACTCTATCAAATATTCTGTACTCTGCCCTTGGGTTTTTACGTCCAAGATGCATTATCTTGCACTTATCCACATTAAATGTCAGTTGCCACAATTCTGACCATTTTTCTAGTTTACCTAAATCATTTGTCATTTGGCTTATCCCTCCTGGAACATCAACCCTGTTACATATCTTAGTATCATCAGCAAAAAGACATACCTTACCATCAAGACCTTCTGCAATATCACTAATAAAAATATTAAAGAGAATGGGTCCAAGTACAGATCCCTGAGGTACCCCACTGGTGATAAGTCCAAGCTTCGAATATATTCCATTAACTACAACCCTCTGTTGCCTGTCACTCAGCCACTGCCTTACCCATTCAACAATATTTGAATCCAAACTTAAAGATTTCAGTTTATTGATAAGCCTTCTATGTGCAACAGTGTCAAAAGCCTTACTGAAATCTAGGTGAGCAATGTCTACTGCACCACCCTGATCTATAGTTTTAGTTACCCAATCAAAAAAAATCAATAAGATTAGTTTGGCATGATCTCCCTGAAGTAAACCCATGTTGTCTCTGATCTTAAAATCCATGTGTTTTTAGATGTTCATCAATCCTATCCTTTAACATGGTTTCCATCACTTTCCCCACTACTGAAGTAAGGCTTACTGGCCTATTGTTGCCCGACTCCTCCCTATTACCTTTCTTGTAAATGGGCACAACATTCGCTAACTTCCAATCTTCTGGGTCTACTCCTGTTAACAATGATTGGTTAAATAAATCTGTTAATGGTTTTGCTAGTACACCACTAAGCTCTTTTAATAGCTTTGGGTGTATTCCATCAGGTCCCATTGACTTATTTTTCTTTACTTTTGACAGTTGAAATAGAACCTCTTCCTCTGTAAACTCACGTGTAATAAATGACTCATTTATCCTTTTTCTCAACTGAGGTCCCTTTCCTTCATTTGCATCTGTAAATACACAACAAAAATATTCATTGAGGCAGTCAGCTAGACCTTTATCCTCTTCTACATACCTTCCTTCTTTTGTTTTTAATCTAACTAATCCTTGTTTTACTTTTCTTTTCTCATTTATGTATGTAAAAATGTTTTATCCCCTTTTTTATTGACTGCTATTTTCTCTTCTGTGTGTGATTTGGAAGCTCTTATAACTTGCTTAGCCTCTTTCTGCCTAATCTTATAGATCATTTTGTCTTCCTCACTCTGGGTTTTTTATAATTCCTAAATGCTAACTTTTTGTTTTTAACTATTTTGGCCACATCTGCAGAGTACCACAGTGGTTTCTTGAATTTTTTGCTTTTACTGACAAACCTAATGCAATTTTCTGTTGCCTTCAATAGTGCAACTTTTAAATAATCCCATTTCTCTTGGACTCCATTTAAATTGCTCCAGTCTGATAATGACTCCTCTACCCATATTCTAATTTTCGAAAAGTCCGTTTTTCTAAAGTCTAAAACTTTTGTTTTTGTGTGGTGTGACTCAGTCACTGCAGCTGAACTTGCAGCACTTCGCTCTGACATGCAAAACACCACTGACAGGATCTGTGCTACAGAAGAGGACATTATCGACATAAATGTTGGCCTAACATACAACCACAGTACAACAGCTTACTAAATCGCACCAAGCACTTTCTATAGATGACCGCCGTGGAAGACCAGTACAGACGTAAACACGTCAAAAATCAGAGGCATCCTAGCAGCTGTCTCGGCAGAGGAGTTGCCACACTTTGTGAGGAGACTGTTGGTGTCAATATTGCCCCGGCAATGGCAAGGAAAATCACTAGATGTGGTGTACAAAATCCATGGTCCCATCACACCATCACCGCACACCGCTAGAGACCTCACCTTAAGATGCACCTCGGCACAAGATAAGGGGCATATAATGGCGGCCCTAAAAGGCAAAATGACACTATCATTCCAAGAAGCACAACTGACCTATCAAGATCTCACTAGAACGACCCTACAATGGCGCAAGTCGCTCACACCAGTCCCGCAAAAATTGAGATCCGTAGGCATGGCTTACCGATGGGGTATACCAGGCACACTACAAGTAACCCACAATGCAACTACTCACTCACTTTATTGGCAGACGCACCAAAGCTCCTCTCATCACTGGGGCTGTCAGAACCACTAACTGGCCCAGAAACAACTGCCCCTGGCAGGATCTGGGATCTGTCTACCATCACATCCTTTGTCCCAAGAGAGGCAACTAGGCACCTGAACACAGCTGGCAACAGAGTTGTTCGAGTCTGGCCTATACAAGAATGGCCGTCACTTTTAACTATAATGACCTAATGTTTTTATTCTCATATGGTTTCTCTTTAGTAGTGTTATATTTTTATTATTTTACTGTTTGCCTATGCACTACATTACTCCACAGAGTTTCCACCGAGCTCTAACGTAACGGATGACCATCCCCCCTCTGGGTGAACCGGACTGCTATAGAGATCACATGTCAGCCCTTAACCCTTAACTTACATAACTCACAGGCAAGACACCTGCCCTACTACCCCCCCACCCGCTCCTGCAGCCCCCTTGGTTAGGGGCATGCTCAGCTCAAATGCAAGGCACCCCTGTAACAACTCCTCAATGGAAACCACTACGCTTACATCCCTACTAAGCAATCCATATGTCTGGACCGTCCCTACATGAAGCTTTGCACGAACTCCACACAGTGCTTTCAAACCTCAACCGCCTGCTCCCTGTAGTGGACCACTGTTCAACACTAAACCCATGACTTCAACACTGTGTTTCTACTCAGATATAGTTACCTCTCACCTCAACCATACAATATATCAGTACACTCATGCTTACTGACTAACTAGGCACACTCACCTACTGATAAATATTAGATTGCTCATGTTTATTAACATAAATTTGTGCTGAATGCTCATGTCACAATTTTGTCCACTCTAAAAAGCCGTTCCATGCCCTTATGGCATGTATGTTACCTTATGGCTCAACAAAAATAAAGAATTATAAAAAACAAACAAACACAAAAAACTGTATTCATGCATTGATCAAGAACATGCAAATTTGTTTCTCAGAAATACAGTGTCTGATTTAAAATAAATAAAAAAATTTTTAAAAATGTGCAAACGAAAATAAATATTTTGGCTTGTTTGTAAGCTGCCAGCAGGAAAAGTGTTAAAGGACCACTAAAGACAGCCAGGTCATTTTATCTCAATGTGGTCTACAAGTTTCCATTGCAGGTTTAAAACGCATCTTTAGTGGCTGCCGTCCTGACAGACACTACCGTGTTTCTCCGAAAATAAGACCGGGTCTTATATTAATTTTAGTCACAAAAAACACACTAGGGCTTATTTTCAGGGTAGGGCTTATTTATTTACGTTACCAGTATGTACAGCTCTTTCTCTTTGCACTCATCTTGTCTGGGGATCAAAATACCATACTGTCTAATTAATCCACCCCCCCTTTAATAAATCCACCCCCTCTAATAAATCCACCCCCTCTAATTAATCCACCCCCTTTAATTAATCCACCCCCCTCTAATTAATCCAGCCCACCCTTTCATTAATCCAGCCCACCCTTTAATTAATCCACCCCCTTTAATTAATCCACCCCCCTTTCATTAATCCACCCCCCTTTAAATCCACCCCCCTTTTAATCCACCCCCTTTAATTAATCCACCCCTCTTTAATAAATCTACCCCCTTTAATAAATCCACCCCCTTTAATAAATCCACCCCCCTTTAATTAATCCACCCCCCTTAATTCAACCCCCTTTAATTAATCCACCCCCCTTTAATCCACCCCCTCTAATTAATCCACCCCTTTAATTAATTCACCCCCTCTAATTAATCCAGCCCACCCTTTAATTAATTCACCACCCATTTAATTAATTCACCAACCCTTTAATTAATTCACCCCCTCTAATTAATACAGCCCACCCTTTAATTAATTCACCCCCTTTAATTAATTCACCCCCCTCTAATTAATCCAGCCCACCCTTTAATTAATTCACCACCCCTTTAATTAATTCACCCCCTCTAATTAATGCAGTCCACCCTTTAATTAATTCACCCCCCTTTAATTAATCCAGCCCACCCTTTAATTAATTCACAACCCCTTTAATTAATTCACCCCCCTCTAATTAATCCAGCCCACCCTTTAATTAATTCACCACCCCTTTAATTAATTCACCCCCCTCTAATTAATCCAGCCCACCCTTTAATTAATTCACCACCGCTTTAATTAATTCACCCCCTCTAATTAATCCAGCCCACCCTTTAATTAATTCACCACCCCTTTAATTAATTCACCCCCCTCTAATTAATCCAGCCCACCCTTTAATTAATTCACCCCCCCTTTAATTAATTCACCCCCCGCCCCCTTTAATTAATTCAGTCCCAGACATAAAATATCTACCGGTACTCACATTTCAAAGATTCCTTGCCGAGTCCGACCACTGGGTGCCTCACCGCCCGGAAATGTATCCTTCCGCTGAAGATCCGTGAAGGCAGACTGACGGCACTGCGAAATGTCGTCATCATGTTGCGCAATGCCACGGCCCGCAACGCTCCTCCTACAGTAGAAGAAGGAAGTCTCGCCGCAAAGGTGCAATGCCTAGGTCTTATTTTCGGGGTAGGGCTTATATTGCAGCCCACCCCGAAAATCCGAATAGGGCTTATTTTCGGGGTAGGGTTTATTTTCGGAGAAACAGGGTAGTAGCATTTCTACATGGAGAACATAGTCAAACTCTGTTTTCATCAAATGCTACTCCTACAGCAGCATTTGATTGGGGCAGCACAGCATACACACTAGCCTCTCAATGCTTCCCTGTAGGGAAGTATTGGATTGGCTGAAATCATCAAGATTGATGATCCCAGCCAAGAAGGTCAAACGGCAGCTATTAGAGCAGCACAGAGACTCAGAAAAGGAAAGTAAAAATGCTCAGGGGCGGACATTTAAGAAGTAGGAGGCCAGAGTGCTAGAAATATACATACAAGTGAACATGGTGATTAGAGCAATTCTTTAAAAGTAGAAACCTACTCCTTTTTAATTCTGCAACTGGGCACCTCCATCTTAGCCCTCTGTTAGTCATGGTTAAAAGAGTTATCCTTTGCACTTGACAGACAACATAGAGAAAGCATACACTTACAGAGGAAATAAAGCAATAGTTCCATTTCTCCTCTTCATTAGCAATGTTTGTCCTGGCTTTACCTTGTCTGAACTGGTATATGATGTAATTTGCTAAAGCTTTAATATAAAATTTGAAGGAAAACAGAATATCTCATCAAAAAACATAAAAGGTTAACACAAGTTATGTAATTTTCAATGTTTTCTTCAAAGATGTAAATTTCAGAGAAGAGAGAGTTCCCCGTTAAATGATTGAAAAAGAAGCCAAACGCTAATGATTCTTTTGTCCCAGGACACGCAATCCTGTAACATTTCTTCTTGTTATGAATTCCGCAATAATATTTATTGAAATGTTCTAAATTCTTGGAGAACAACCAATTTCTCTTCTCTGACTGTCCTGCTGCTTTGCCAATGCTAACCTTCCATGCCAAACTTTCTTTTTGCACAGAATGTCCCTGCTTCTATGAGATACACTAAGTATTAAGCAAGCATTCTGGGCAGTGGGGATTTCAGTCCACAAGCTTTTGTTGCCATGGAGGCAAAGTAGGGTTCATGTTTTGTTCAAGCCAGAAAGTCAAGGAACATCACAAGTGGATCCTCTGACACAGCAATGGTTTCCCGAGGCACTGCAGGTGTTTGTGAACTAAGTTTCCCATAATACCTAGTTAGCCTCTAGGCTTGTGTTGTTCAGATAAACCATCACTGCTGTATTACTTAAAAATCTGGTCTTGGCTTTCTAAATTACTGGACACTAATCAGACCCACAGACAATACAATGAATGTGTGCGGTACCCAAAGCAATAATAGACCGTGGATGCAGCTTCTAGACCAAGTATACAGATTTTGTAGAAGTTTTATAAATAAACCAATATTAATTGTAAATGTGCCAGGTAGTAGTTATGGGTACTTACATTCAAACAAAGGTAGTTTCTGTTTCTTTCTCCAAGGTTCAGCGACTTGACATGTGTATTTACCTCTTGACCAGTGTTTAAGTTTAAAGATGGTGGGGCACTTGCATTTACTCATGGAATTTGACCCCACTCCCTGATGCTGTTATCCGTTGATGTATCTAGAAAACAAGACAATACACAGTCTATGGAATCTAATTCCACACACTCTCTCGGGAAACCTCGCCTCCCAATCTGTTCAAATATCAAAATGGCTGTTAAAAAAATATAAAAATCTTTATTTCACTTGTCTGCTTAACCCTTTAAGTGCCCGAGATATGGCCATCAAAGCAATGTGTGTGACACAAAGGGTTACAAAACATACCGGAAATTTTGGATTACTCAGTGTGACAAACTCCCCTGTCCTCGTGAGTTTGCCACGAGCTCCTGGAGGAGCCTGCTTGCCAGCCTCCTGCCCACCAACTATAGGCCAGGTCAGGGACTGTAAAGACCCATATTTCATTCCCCCTTGTTCGGCACTTTGCATTCGTACGCATAGATCCAACTGCTAGCTCCCTGGCGGCCGTTCACATGGACCAAAACCGCAAATAGAATTCAGGGGGACTTAGCCGCTAAATCCCTGGAACTATTTTTGGCATGAAGATGTTGTGGTTCCTGGTCGGTCCCCAGCGACACTTATCTGCGATTCTATGGAACTATTTTTGGCTAGCGGACCATGCGTACAGTCAGTCAAATTATGACTTCCAGGAAATTCCTGAACCCCTAAACCGAGCTGCGGGATGTTTTGGATATGTTGGTCACCCAGATCGGGCTATCAGGAGATGTAACATTTGTGGGCTTTTATGTATTTTTAAGGTACTTTTGGGGTGTTTGGGAAATGTGTTTTTTGTGCTTGGAGATAATTGAGTTTGGTATAGTGCTTGACATAATTATCTCACAGGCACAGGGGAGGGATTATCTTTTTTTTGTATGGGAGTGCCCTGGACCTGAGAGCCAATGTATGTTTATGTTTTTACTGTAGTCTACTCTCAGGTCCAGGGGGGAGTGCCCCTTGCATGGGAACCTGCATATAAGGCCAGTTGTAGCTGCCAATAAACACATTCCAGCTTGTACTCCCAGAACTATGTGTCGTATGGTTACTGGGAGGGGAAAGGGCTAATCACTTATCCAGGGGCGTTTTAGCTGCGAGGCAAACAAGGCATTTGCCTTGGGCAGCATTTTTTCAGGGGGCGGCAAAAAACGCAGCCCCCAAATGCCCAGGGCAAATGCCTTGTTAGCCTCGTGGCTAACTGACATGCTGGGCTGGGCTGGGCGGAGCGGCTGGCGAGGGAGCACTTCCTCTGAGTGGTCTGCTCAGCTCCCTCGCGCGCCGCCCGCAGAGTGAGGCTGGGAGCCAGAATATGACGTCAGAGGACGTGCTCCCTCGCCAGCCGCCAGCCCATCAGCCCGACCAGCAGCCACTGGACCCCCAGGGAGAGAGAGACCCCCGCAGCATTCCCAAAGGAAA